CGCCGCTCGGTGCAGACAGCAGCGGGAGCGCGCGCGCGCGCCGCCGCCGCCGCCGATCCGATCTGAGGCTGCTGCGGCTCCCGCGGCAACGTCAGTAAAAGATTTGAAAGCGAAGCACTCTCAGGTTTACACTGTCGCCATTGCCGGCGCGTCGCAACGTCGCGGCGCGTATCGCGTCGACACGCCCACAAATGGCGTCAAAAGGCGCCGACGCAAGTCTGCGGCCCCGGAGGCCCGAGGGCGTGGCGCCAGGGGGCGCGCTGCTGCCGCGCGTCTACGCCCACCGATGTCCGGTGTCTGGCACCGATGTCTGGCAGGTCGCGGTCCTCGGGCATCCGCAACAGCTCAGGGTCTCTGGGCTCAGGCGGGTCTCAGCCAGAGGAGGCTGGGTTTGGCCCTGGCGGTGGCCCGAAGGAAGGCGTGGGAATATTCCCATGCAGCGGGCGCCAGGCGTGTGTCGCGGCGGCCGCCATCTTGGGAAAGTGGGTGGGGCGGGCAGGACCAGTCTCCCCGGCTGGGAAAAAGTGACGCGCCTCCTTCGCCCGAAGGCCCCACCCCTGTGCAGAGAGCTGGTCTTAGCTACTGACTTTGAAGCGATTGTCCTAGGCTAGATCCCTGTTCTTGTTCATTTTGGCAGCCTAGGCACCTGGCGCGGGGTCAGGTGTTTGGTGCAGAGCGAATGAATGAATTGAACCAACGATCCCACCTCCTTCATTTACCGGTCTGGTACCTTCCTCGGGCTGGAGTTCAGAGTGTGTGGAAGGAGATAGGAACAGCCATTTCCTACCATTGTACCCCAGGATTCGCAGGTGCTCCGGCCCCAAACTTGAGGCTTACATGTAAACATGCCAGCCTAAACAGCAGCTTTACTGGATGACTGACCATTTCTTTGTCTTTTAGAAAGACACAGCAGCCCGGCGTGGTGGCGCGCGCCTATAATCCCCGCACTTGGGAGGTTGAGGCTGGAGGATTACTGTGAGTTCGAGACCAGCTTGGGCTACATAAATGAGTTCAAGGCCAGCCTGAACTGCATAGTGAGACCCTGTCTCAAAAACCAAAGTAAATAAATAAATAAAAAGAAAGCCACAGCATGTTTCTCTAAACAGATCCCTTGGCCCGCGAAATTACACACTGCTAAGAGTGAAGAGGTCCGCATTTTTAATTTGTCGGGTATTTATTGAGTTCCTACTAAGGGCCAGGCACTGTGTGAGGATCTAGTGACAAGCGTCAACGTGACAGACACAGCTCAGGGGGAACAGGATGGTTGGCAAATGATATGATAGGAAAAATGCAGTATGCTGGAGAGGAGTGATATTCACCTTTTTGGTCTCAGCACCCCTTTACACTAAAAAACTATTAAAGACCCTAAGGAACTTTTTTTGTATGTGGGTTATATTCATTGATATTTGCTGCTCTAATATTAAAACTTCTATTTAATATATTTATTCATTGAAAATAACAAAGCATTACAGTACATGTAAACAGTAATAGCCTAACCCAGACTAGAGAGTGGAGAAAAGCTTCCCAGAAATTATTTTTATTTAGCTGGGTGTAGTGATTCACATCTATAATCCCAACACTGGGGAGGCTGAACCAGGAGGAGCACTGCGAATTTGAGGCCAGCCTGGGCTACACACAGATTTCAAGGCCAGCCTGAACTACATAGAGAGCCTATAGGTCTCAAAAGAAAAAGAAAAAAAATTCTACTGCAATAACCTTTGCAAATAAATAGTGGTGAAGTACAGGTTCTAGAAAATCCAGGCTGCCAACATACCATCTGTGTGAATTAGGTTTCAAGTATAACAATGGTTTTTAAATAGTAGTTGGGGCTTGTTTTCGTTTTCAATTACTTTTTTTTCCCAACAAGTTTCTTGTTTTGGTAGGAACTGTTGGAGAAATGAATTTGCATGCATTTTTATAATAGGAATTTTGTTAGACTCATTTAAGCATTGCTAAATGTTTCTTCCTGGACCCAAAAATGGTATATAGCTGTTTTAGCAACATGTGACTGGTCTCCCATTTCATTTCTTTCTTTTTTTTTTTTTTTTTGAGACAGAGTTTTGCTATGCAGTTCAGGTTGGCCTTGAACTCACTTTGTACCCCAAGCTGGCCTCGAGCTTGCATCGATCCTCCTGCCTCAGCCTCCCGAGTGCTGGAATTATAGGCATGTGCCATCACACCCGGCTTTCCATTTCATTGCTGAGTTCACAGCATAGGTGATAATATGTACCCCACTCTACTGTACATGACGCTCTGAGTGCCTGCTCTACCACAGTTCCTTCCAGGCAGGTCACCAAAGAGCTTTCTTATGACTAGGTCCCATGTCACCCATCTGCTTTGGCTCAAAGGCTGCCTGGAAGCAAGTGGAGTCACCTGACAGAGTAATATTACATTAATAGATTTGGCTAAAATCCAATTAGAGCTTCCTGGCATGTTAGAGTAGGACAGCGCGGAGAGACCCACACAGGGAAGGTAAAAGGCAGGACAGGGGCAGCCTTCTCTGCAGAAGTTCCCCAGGGGTGAAAGGAGCAAGCAAAGCGATAGAGGGTCACTGTGTCACCATAATAGAGGAGCAGTGGAATGGGGAGCCAGGCACACTCGTTCTACCTTCCCTGCCTGTGATACCTGAAAGTTGCATTTTCATAATGCTTTGGTGTATGAAGCCTGGTCTCCGTGCTTATTTCTATGTATTAGTAAAAGAACTCCCTAGTAACATGGATGACCTCTGGTAATTTCTAGTAACTGGAGGCATCGCTGCCTTTGTTACCTGTGTTTCCAAGATATTTTGCGGCTTACAGAAACATTCAAGGTAGCAAAGCAAAGAGGGAGACTGGCAGCGGTGTTGAACCTATGGCCGATGTGCTGCAGCAGGCTAATTGTTATCGTGGAAAGCTCTAAAAGGTTCCCCATCCCTGCTCTAAAGGTAGGGAATGGTTCCTGAAACTCCCAGAACGCATCATAGATGGGCTGCATGAGAGACTGCTGGTCCTAGAAAGAGGAGCCGGTTAAAGTCCAAGCAGCCAGCGACCCACTAATCAATTAACCTCCTAAAGCAGACTGTTGGACTGAAAGAGTCACTTATCTGGCCTAGAAAGTCTTTCAGAAATATTAAGGAACTATATCAAATTAAATTTTTAAGTGGACTCATCAAGCCAACTCTGTACAAGAATACTCTTGTCCGCACATCCTGTAAACTTAAGATTTAGTGGAAATAAATGCAACCCATGACAAAAAGACTGATGGCAGACTGCCATGGTGCCTGCCTGTCAGTCCCAGCTAATGAGGTGGGTGAGGCAGGAAGAGCACGTGTTCTTACCTGGCTTGGACAATTTAGCGAGAGGAGACTGTCTCAAAGTAAAATTTAAAAAGGGATGAGGATGTACCTCAGTCTCAGAGCAGGTTCCTAGCATGACCAAGGACCTGGGTTTGATCCCCAGTACTGAAAACAAGCAAAAGCAAATTTAAAAATTCAGAAACAAACTCTGACGGACGCTTCACCTAAGATAGTTCTTTAAAACCAAATGTACTATTCACAACAGGCACGCTGGTGTTAACTTCTAGCACTTTCCAGTGTCAGTGATGGAGACCTGCCAGCTGGCTGTGTTTGGGGTATACTTCATGACTCTTTTCCCATGCTTTATAGTGTATTATTATGGTCTGTATCCTAAATCTGGGGCATGGGAAGACCCTGCACAAAATTGAGACACATGCAAAATTTGTTTAGTCTTTGTTTCACTACTGTACCCCTGTAGGACTGTCCACCGAAATGAAATCTCCTGTAGAAATCGCCCATTTCTGGTACCACAATAAGTAGTATGCAAGAGACTGTGGATATTGTGGCCTACTGGTAAGATTCCTCCTGACAAGGATAATCTGTTAAAAGAGAAACGTTCCCTCCAAAAAGTCAAACACAGCCACAACTTTTAATCCCAGTTCTTCAGCTGTGGATGGAAGGAGGCTGGTACCCTAAGAAATCATTCGGGGAACCTTTTTATATCAGGTTCCTAAGTCTCTTAGAGATTGTTAACAATGAAAAGTAGTTCTTCGGGCTCCAGTTTTACGAACTGCTCATTGGCCTTCTTGGTTTTTGTAACCTGGGCTTTTATCAGGTCATTTCTAAAATGTTATGCTTAGGAAAGTAAAGATATAACATTTACTCAGAGTGAAGAATGTGGTAAAAATATTTTGGAGTTCTGTGACTTGAAAATAGCTTTAAGTTTTGGAGTTAAAATGAGTTTTTAGTTATAACTGCCAAAAATGTTGATTTTAGAATATAAAGTTACACAGAGCCATTTGGAACTTTATTTCATGTTTATTTGTTTTTCCCCACTTATTACAATGCCCACCTTAAAGCAATATTCATACAATAACAGCACCCCACTTTAAGTAAACCAATTTTACAGATTTAAAGTCTAGTGGTAATATACATATATATATATATCCCCTTTTGAGACACATCACTAGCAAAAGTTCACAATCACACAAGCCATTTAAAGAAAGCTCACAACTATCAGAAGCACACTCACATATCAAGTTTTTAAAAATACAAATTTGACTATCAATAGTGCCAAAAGTAAGCTTTAATTTGCTCCAAGAATACATTTTCTGAAACCACAAGCCAAAATCTGACAAATCTATTCACGATGGTTTTTAATACAGCAGTTATTAACAAGCTTATTGGGTTAGTGATATTAGCAGAGGATGGAAGATCAGAGCCTTCCATCTGATTTCAAGGACAGTTATACTCTCGCAGGACTTAGGCACCCATTACGTTTAATAAAGTCAAGCAGGAAGATACACTGATGACAACGGCACACCCCGGTGTTAAGGATTTATGTGGCACTTCTGCAGATTCTTAGAAAGAGAGCACTGATTACCCCAAAGAAATGAATTTCCTTAAAGGAGGAATTTCAGACACTGGCAGGTACAAATTTTTCCACAGGGGTCCTGTGGAGCGCTTAATGACCCCATAAATGCAGCCATTTATTCTGCCTGTGACTGAGGCAAGTTCTCAACAATCTTTGTGCAAAGCCAGCTCTGGCTAGTTCTTAACCAGTGCAGTTCTAAGCCGAACTACATTAGTCAGGAAGTGTTGAACTAGTAAGGCAGTCGTGCTGCCCCAGATCCTTAGTCAGTGCTTGATCCTCACTGACCCTCAAACATTTTC